GGCAGAGGTTCGTCCACGACAGAGATCGCGTTGTTGAGCAAGACGTAACGGCAAGGCAACAACATCATCAACAACAGTGACGACAGCAAACGCGCTCCTCGTTCACCTCATCTTAAAAGAGGGGTAGCCCACGTGGGGAACAGACTTGCAAGAGGAGATCAAGCAAGAGATGGCATCCGCTGTAACGCAGTGGTTACACTAGGCGCGCAGTGGACAGCCCCTAATTTGCATTTTACTTGCCTTTCCAAGCATCAAGATATGTCTGCTTGTTGCATCTTGAACGTAATGTGCAATTGACGGGAGATTGAGTAAAATGCATAGAACGAAACTGAGCAGATTGAAAGAGAACACTACCCACAATGGCGCCTGTATTCGAGAGGTATCCAAAAGATTCACGCCTAATCAAAGAATATCTGCAAACCAACGCTCCCTAGCATGCGGTTATTCGTAGTTGCCGCATAAGCATCTCAAAGGACAATGCACTTCTTGCCCTTCTTCCTCTCGCCGCCCTCTTTCTTCGCGGCTGGCGGCTCAAGTGCTGCTACGATTGCCTGTGGAGATGTCAGCATCTGCATCAGCCATTCTTGTACAATATGCTTACCTCGTCAAACACGTCCTTGAGCTTGTATTGGGTCAGCGCCGAACACTCGACGTACTTGACCGCACCAAGCTCCCGCGCCATGCGCTCGCCGTCCTCCTTCTTTACAGGCGCCATTCTCTGTTTTGAGAGCTTGTCTTTTACTGCAGCGTCCTCCCTCAGATCTACTTGTGTGCCGACGATCAGGCAGGGCACGCCCGGGCAGTGGTGATGTACTTCGGGGAACCATTTCTCGCGGACGTTCTCAAAAGAAGCGGGTGAGGTCACGGAGAAGCAGACGAGGAAGACGTCGGTTTGGGGGTATGACAGCGGCCGGAGACGGTCGTAATCTTCCTGTCCGGCAGTATCGAAGAGACCGAGGGTGTATGGCTCGTCACCGATCCTTCAAAGCAGTCAGCAGCTGCTCCACCAATCACTGTCCCAAACCTAAATCCACCGAGGGTTTGCCGCTACTCCAAACTGTGCAAAGAGCAGAGGGAAGCTCACATGACGGTCACGGCGTAGTTGTCGAAGACTGTAGGGACATATTCCGAGGGGAACTTGTTCGTGGTATAACTGATAAGAAGACATGTCTTTCCGACCGCACCGTCGCCGACGACGACGCACCTGTAGGGTAGTAAGCACTAGCATATCGAGCATGGCGGTCGCACGCCGGGCATGTTGGGCTTCGCGTACTTGATTGTCGCGACCACCATGGTGAAGGCAGGCTGGGATTTGTTTCGAGGCTATGGATGTTTGTTTGGAGGCACGTCGGCTACCAAAATTCGAGATAGGCGTGCGGAGATGGGGCGGAGCTGTCGCTACGCAGGCTCAGGGTCGTGGTCGTGCGGAGATGGGAGCTATGGGCTCAAACGAGGGGTTCCAGGGAGCGGGGAGCGTCTGGCAGACGGGTCAGTCTCACAATTGCTGGCGCTGGCTGTGATGGCAGACTCGGGCAGGCGTACCTATGAGTCCTCGTGCAGACGGCGGCGGCGGCGGGTGCTACGTGGGTTGGAGCGTGAAACACCACCCGTTAGACTTGGTCCAGGTTCTGGTGAGCCGGTGGGCGGACAATGCGGCGAGCGATTGAGGCAGTGCTAGCGACGAGGCACGCGACCGGACAAGGACAGTACAGGCGCAGCAGCAGCCAGCGACGAGGCGAGTTCACAGAGGGCGACGGGACGTTTGGAGGGCGTGAGTGAGGTTGCGCTCTAGCTACGGCAGCCGAATCCCTTGAGCTGGAAGACGCCAATCAGTGAAAGCGGCCTAGGGCTGTTATCATAGCCTTGCATCGGCTCCCGCCCGTAGCTCGGAGACGGCTTATTATGTACGGCTGCACAATTTCAAGCCCTATTTTGCGGCCTCTGCTGGCCAGACCTGGGGCGCCTTGGACTGACCCAACGCGTGGCAGACCCATTGCTGCAGCGCCGCAGACACGACCCCACCAACCAACACCGCCCGACATTGGCTTGATAGACGCAGCGAGGCACGACTGTGAATACACGCTGCCTCTGATGCCAGCGTGCATGCTCGTATGGCCCAGCGAGATCCCGGACAAGCTCAGTGAGCCCCAGATTTGGGAACGAACCGTGCACATGGACAACGTGGCTGATCGTCCTCTAATAGCATGGTCTGGCGGTGTTTGCGCAAGAAGTCGGCCTGTAATAAATCATCCGTAGTAGCACACAACACGTCCAGGATCGGCAGCCCTTCTTTACAACACACCTCCGCTGGCTTCGGCCAAAGCTGGTATATTGCCATAAGCGCGCACCCCTATGTACTCGCCCACAGACAGCTCATTCACGCGACATGCGAGCCAGGTGCAGCTTGACCCATTGCCGATTGAGTCGAATCTTAGAATGCTGCAGGGCAACCTTGGCAGACCCCGGCTCGCCCAATCAGCATCTCGCCTCGGCACGGAACAACCTCGTCTCCCGGGAGCTAGGGCGCTCCCTCCCCATCTGTCTCCATTCGTCTCATCTCACGGTTGCATCACGCACGAGAGCGGCGCCGCACATCACTTAGCCGTCGCGCCTCAATCTATTCTATGACAGTGCTGCCATGGATGACCTCGAAGACGAATTGGATCTTCGATTTCACAAGGGGCTGAGTCCCGATGTCTACTACCGCTGTCCTACGCTCGAAGTAATATCATCTTCGCAATCTGTATCGACGTAGCTAAACTGTCATGTAACAGTCACTGGAGGGAGCTCTGCGCAATGAGCTGGACAAGAACGCAGCCAGCTTCATTCCCACAGACGTGGTGACCGAGTTCATTTTTGCGACAGCCTCAACCATCACCATCCCCGTGACGCAGCAGCCGAGCCTTGACGCGCTCATACAACCAGCCGACCACCTTCAGAGCATTGCTGCCGAGTATGCGCTGTGTCGTGATATTGATGGCAAAGACAGGCTCAAGGTGCAGCGAGCAATAGCGAGGTACTTGAGCCCACATATCTGCACTATGTTCGCTTATGCACGATAGATCCATCATCGAAGCCATTCAGGATACCGATGGTTTCAAGTACTCCGAGCGCTCTGCGCAGAGTAAAGAAGGCGGTGATGGTGCCAGGCTCAAGGTAAGGCACTGCCAAAATAATAACCAGTTCCTCGTTGTGGCTGACGATGGTAGTATGTTTGCCAAGACAGCGTCCAGAACCGCAAAAGCAACCTCAAGAAAGAAAGGTCTCACGATAGCGACGACGACGAGGCTGGAGTCAGCAAGCAGGGGCCGGCTGTGCTGCCGACCTACGACTGCGGAGGCGCAATACACATCAAATTCTCACTCAAGAGAGAGGCCATAAATGTTGTGTATAAGCATAATCCTATCCATACCACCCGCGAGATTGATGCCGGGTACGTTGGGGCAGCAAAAGACACTGGTTGAGCGACATCCAAACTAACTTCTAATAGCCTACCTGCCTTAGCCACAGATAACGGCGTTGCTCCCACTGCCGCTGCTACGGAAGAAAAGGAACCGCGCAAAAGAAAACGTAGTAAAAAGAATGTTGTTGAAGCAGACAACGACTTCGGGGACCCAGATATGAACATGTCAACGTCTCCGGAAGCTCCAAGTTCATCGACGAAGAAGAGGCGCAAGGGAAGTGGTGCCGTGGCCTCTCCTAGGACTGTGCGGAAACCACCCACCAAGAAGAGCAAGAATGCCAAATCGCCTGCATCACCCACCAAATCGAGGAAAAAGGCGCCTGTCAGTCAATCGTCTCCGCCGTCGCTACCTGCTCCTGGCAAAGCTTGCATCCGCTGTCGCGGAAAGAAGATCAAATGCAACGAGGCGAAACCGACGTGCAACCAGTGCCGACGAGGACTATGGACCTGTCAGTATGAAGTGTTGAACAACAAGAAGCGTTCCAAAAACGGCTGTCTTAATTGCAAGCAGAGACGACGGAAGTGTACAGAAGAAAGGCCATCGTGCGCATACTGCTTACGACTGGACGATGACTGTGAATACGCAGACTACTCCTGAGGATCTTTATGTCTGGTAAAAGTCTTACAATTTCAAGCGACAAATGACTCAGCACCCGCCAAACGTCAGGCTTGGCACCAAATGCGCAGGCCTTGTGACGACAGGCAGAGTGCTATAACAGGCGAATATCTTGACATGATGCCAACTTTGTAGTCATGTAGGTGTCTGAGACATGCATACAATTTTTGCAGTGCTGACAGGAGATTTAGACTGGAAAGCATGTTGTACGTTGAGGCATACGCTACTTTTCCGCGATGCCAGCACAGGCAGGGCGAGTGGAAGCACGGAAGCTCCACACCACAATGCGCAAAGGCTAAGTGTACAAGGCCGTTCAAGCAATTGACCCTTGAAGGCCTGCAATTAAGAAACTTCACTCCTATTGCAGTAAGTTTGTGCTAAGCCCTTGGGCGCCATGTAGCGTCCTGTATTACTAGGGTCCTCGGGTTAGCGAATACCAGAGACCATCACTTGATCAGACTAGTTCACCTAAGCAGTTCATTAACCATCACACGACTGAGCCGCATGTTCCCCACAACGTCCACTGCGAATGTCAAGGGTGCAGTAATTGTTTATCGGGGCAACGTCCGCTTGTGATGCAGTGTTCCGAAGTTTGATTCGCGGCTGACCCTAGTCACCGGCTGTAGACCCTGGGTCAACGGCCCGCCTCCATTTACTCCCTCTCACCGTCTCATCTAATTCAACGATCACCCCTCTACATCACACGTCATGCGGCTTGTAAGTTTCTTGGGGTCTGGGGTTACCATGCTGGATGCTGGCATCTCGCCAAGGGCCAATTTTGACGAAAAACAACAGTCTCGGGCTTGTGCGTTGCGCAGCATGGACGATCCGCGGGTATTTAATAGGAGACATGCCCGAGTAATTGTTCGCGGTTCATACGGATTCCTGTACAGCTTTTAGACCGTTGAGATTTCGAGCACGATGCGTTCTTTTATTCTTCCTGTGCTCGCTACGGCTGCGTTGTCGCAAGCCTCAGGTACCTACATCTATGATACATGCAACTACGTGTTCACTACTAACATATGCAGCCATTCCGTCCGAATTACTTTCTTCGAAGCGTGCCGTCGGAAACTGGGACGATGCCCATGCGAAAGCGACTGCTGCTCTTGCCAAACTATCACAGAGCGAGAAGATCGGCATCGTTACGGGTGTTGGCTGGCAGAACGGTAACTGCGTTGGCAACACCAAACCGGCTGCCTCGATTGGATATCCGTCGCTCTGTCTGCAAGGTAAGCAAATATGTCTCACTACTTTCGAGCCGACCCGTGGTTTGTGGCATCGGAGTCAAGATGCTGTGACCCTACGAATATGTTGTGTTCAGCGACTTCGGTGCTTGGAACTTGGAGCGTGGCCAGGTCACGTCGAACCCACTTTTCAACGCCTGCTCACTGCATGTGTACATTCGAAACAGGGTTCTTACTAACAGCCTCAAGATGGACCCCTCGGCGTTCGCTACATCCAAGGTGTAACTGCATTCAGTGCAGCTATCCATGCCGCCAGCACCTGGGACCTCGATCTCATTCGTGAACGCGGCGCCTTCCTTGGTGCTGAAGCAAAGGAGCTGGGCGTCCACGTCCAGCTCGGGCCTTCAGCTGGACCTCTCGGAAAGTTTGCCAATGGTGGCCGAAACTGGGAAGGATTCGGTTCCGATCCCTACCTCCAAGGCATTATGATGGCAGAGACCATTGAGGGTATGCAAGAATCCGGTGTTCAGGCGACAGCTAAGCACTGGATCGTCAACGAACAAGAGCTCAACCGAGAGACTATGAGCTCAGATGTGTCGGATCGAGTGCTTCGCGAGCTTTATGTGTGGCCATTCATGGATGCTGTCCACAGCAATGTTGCGGCCTTCATGTGCAGTTACAACAAGGTCAACGGAACTTGGGCCTGCGAGAGCGATGGTGTGATGAACAAGCTCTTGAAAGACGAACTTGGCCATCGTGGATACATCATGAGTGACTGGAATGGTGGGTCATCTGCACACTCTTCAGATATGTTTCACAAGCTGACCTCATTTAGCTCAACACACGACGACCGGCAGTGCAAACGGTGGAATGGACATGACCATGCCCGGCACCGACTTCAGTGGTGGAAACGTCTTCTGGGGCCCACAGCTTCAGTCCGCCATCGACAAAAAGCAGGTTCAACAATCTCGCCTCGATGACATGGTCAAGCGCGTACTCTCTTCCTGGTACCTCCTTGGTCAGGACAAGGGCTATCCCAATGCCACCTTTAGCTCCTGGAACATCGGCACTCGTCAGGTCGGCGGCAACCACAAGACAAACGTCCGTGCTACGGCCCGCGATGGTATCGTCTTGTTGAAGAACACAAACGCTACATTGCCCTTCAAGAAGCCCAAGAGCATCGCTGTCATCGGAAGCGACAGCATCGTTGCGCCTAAGGGAGCTAACGCATGCGTTGATCGCGGATGCAACGACGGCACGCTAGCTATGGGTTGGGGATCTGGATCAGTGGAGTTCCCCTACCTCATCGCTCCTCTCGATGCAATGAAGACGCAAGCCCAGAAAGACGGCACCACCATCACCTCTTCACCAAACGACAATGCGCAACAGGGAGCTAGTGCAGCTCAGAACGCTGATGTAGCTGTCGTGTGCATCAACAGCGATGGTGGCGAAGGATACATCACTGTTGAGGGCAACGCTGGCGACCGAACTAACCTGGACCCGTGGCACAACGGAAACGAGTTGGTCAAGGCAGTTGCTGCCGTCAACAAGAAGACAGTTGTCGTGGTCCACAGTGTCGGCCCCGTCATCATGGAACAATGGGTAAGGAATTCGACTCAAACTGCATTTAAGACATACACTGACTTGCGTAGATCGAGAACCCGAACGTAGTAGCTGTTGTATGGGCAGGCCTGCCAGGTCAGGAGTCCGGAAACGGCCTCGTCGACATCCTCTACGGCGCTGCCTCGCCAAGCGGCAAGCTCCCCTACACCATTGCGAAGAAGGAATCAGACTACGGTACCACCATTGCCAGGGGTGACGACAAGAACTGGGACCTCTTCATCGACTACCGTCGTTTTGACCAGCAGAACATTACACCCAGATTCGAGTTCGGCTTCGGTCTCTCCTACACCAACTTCACCTACTCCGAGCTCAGCGTCTCAGGCAAGCCCTCGGCTGGTCCCGCAACCGGTGCCAAGGGTCCCGGAGGCCCTGTCGATCTCTTCGAGACGGTCGCAACCATCACAGCCAAGATCAACAACTCCGGTGGTGTTGCAGGTGCAGAAGTACCACAGCTGTATCTCGGCTACCCTGCATCAACCAACTCGCCTCCCAAGCAATTGAGGGGTTTTGCGAAGCTCAAGTTGGCAGCTGGTGCGAGCGGAACTGCTACCTTCAAGCTGAGGAGAAGGGATATGAGCTTCTGGGATGAGAAGACTAGGAAGTGGAGTGTTGCGACTGGAGAGTACAAGATCTTTGTAGGATCGAGTTCCAGGGATGTGAGGCTGACAGGCAAGATCACTGTTTAGTGATTGATGCAGAAAGGCCACTGTTTGAGAGGAGTGCATCCATCGTGCTCAATAGTCGAATAGAAATACGAAGATTGCTCGTGAAGAAAAAAGTTTTGATCACCGTTGTTGCCATAAACTTCCCCCGTTGGGTTCAGCACATGGAACTCTCAGGGAATCCAAGTTGTGAGTTCTTTAGGGGCTGACATGCGGATTCAGCGGATGTGCGGAGACACATTCGGCAAATTATGAAGCTTTCGATCGTCATGATGCCGATATCGGGACAAAGCAAAACTGTGACAGTCACTCCTCATTTGCATGCGGAGACCATAAAATCCTCTCCGGAGAACACTTTCAGGCTGCGATCGACAAGATAAGACGCCACATTAGGTGAAAAATGCTCGTCATACCCTACGCCACGTGGTAGTCAAGCTCGAAGGCGCAATAGCTAGACGGCTACAAACACATCTCATACAACGATTTTGAAGCCAATGTGTTACTTTGCCTAATACATAGATTGATGTGAGTATTCTTATAGCCTTAATTCTGGACGGTAAGACACAATCTTTACCAGAATCTCGCGACAGTATTAGAGGATAGCGTACGCTACGCGGTAGCCAGGTAAGGCTCAAAGAGAACTGATAGCGGGCCGGCATTCATCGTCCAGTTTCCCCGGACGTTTGTCATAGTATATGGATCCTGTGTTGAAGAAACTTTGCGACCTATCGTTATCGTGGCCGAAAGTATATTGTAAAGGTTGTCATTGGCGCAGGTGCGTGTCATTGCGCCTTAGCGCGATTCTGGTGCTGGGGCAGAAAAGCCCCTCCGATTACTCTCCATCCTCACCTCACGCAAACTCAACACCTTCAAAGCTAGCACGTCAAGCTTCGCCTCAGATAGGCAGCCCCTTTGGACCTCGACTGGCTCTACTACCGCGCTTATGAAAGCTGCCCCGACAGTCTTCACTTCCCAGGTATGTCACTACTGCGATGGTTGATGAGCCCTTATCGGGACCTGCATCGCACACCGTCAATTCACCGCCGGCCTTTCTGCCTCTTGGTGGCTTGACGATCGATGCATTCGTCTCTTGATTTTTTTCTTCGATTCTTCTATCATGACTGTGGCTAATTGAACACCTTAGGATTACCTGTCAGGTACGATGTCGCCCGTAGCTAGACGCGTCGTGAGCGTCAGACTGACTCTATCCGCAGACCACCTGTGGAAGGCCTCAGTAAACTGAACGCCTACCCAAGCTGCCACCAAACGAATCACTACATCTCCTCACATCTCCGCTCATCATGTTGTCGCAAATGATCAAGCCTTCCACCATGCGGTCCGCAGGGTTCCTGGGACGAATGACGCAGAACCGCGCCCAGGCACGCTGCCTCGCTACTGTGGAAGGAAACACACAACGTGCCATTCCTACTCCCAGCATGCGCAGGGCTACAGCTGTCTCCAACGAGCCCGCTACCTTCACCATCAAGGTGCGTTGAGTCATACTGCAGATCTTGGTACATCGCTAACAGCTGACTAGAACGGCCCCATCTTCGAAGGCAAGTCCTTCGGAGCCAAGACGAACATTTCCGGTGAAGCCGTCTTCACAACCTCGCTCGTCGGTTACCCCGAGTCCATGACCGACCCCTCCTACCGTGGCCAGATCCTCGTCTTCACACAACCGCTGATCGGCAACTACGGCGTCCCCTCCAACGCCCGCGACGAGCACGGCTTGCTCCGATACTTCGAATCACCACACATTCAAGCCTCTGGCATTGTGGTCCAGGACTATGCTCTGAAGCACAGCCACTGGACTGCTGTTGAGTCACTCGCACAATGGTGTGCTCGAGAGGGTGTCCCCGCCATCTCCGGCGTTGACACCCGTGAGGTTGTAACATACCTTCGTGAGCAGGGTTCTTCTCTTGCTCGCATCTCGATCGGTGAGGAGTACGATGCTGATGAAGATGAGGCATACATCGACCCCGAGGCTATCAACCTCGTGCGTCGTGTTTCGACCAAGGCTCCCTTCCACGTCAGCTCTTCTCTGGGCGACATGCACGTAGCTCTGATCGACTGCGGTGTCAAGGAGAACATCCTCCGCAGTCTCGTCTCTCGCGGTGCCAGCGTCACCTGCTTCCCCTTCGATTACCCCATCCACAAGGTCGCCCACCACTTCGACGGTGTCTTCATCTCCAACGGCCCTGGTGACCCAACTCACTGCACCACCACCGTCCACAACCTGCGCAAGCTGTTCGAGACCTCCCAGATCCCCGTCATGGGCATCTGCATGGGTCACCAGCTCATCGCCCTTGCTGCCGGTGCAAAGACCATCAAGCTCAAGTACGGCAACCGCGCTCACAACATCCCGGCTCTCGACCTCACCACCGGCAAGTGCCACATCACCTCGCAGAACCACGGATATGCGGTCGACCCAACCACTCTGTCCAGCGAATGGAGGGAGTACTTCACCAACCTCAACGACCAGTCCAACGAGGGTCTGATCCACAACTCTCGTCCCATCTTCAGTGCCCAGTTCCATCCCGAAGCCAAGGGCGGTCCTCTTGACTCTGCGTACCTCTTTGACAAGTACATGGAGAACGTGCAGCAGTACAAGAACAACCAGTTCTCTGACAAGAGCAACAAGCCCAGCGCTCTTCTGGTAGACTTGCTCAGCAAGGAGCGCGTTGGTTGCCATCCCGATGCGCCAGACTTCGAGGGTCACGCAGCGGGTATGGAAAACCAGGACATTACGGTGGGCGGGCCCGTCGCTCCTTCCTACCAGCCTATCACGCAGAAGCCCGTTGCTTCCGCTGCTTAGACTGGTTCGGTTCCATGTCTGATGGCAATGTGTTGGTTGCGTTTTAGGGATCTTGGGGGCATGGCTATAGCGGCGTTATGGGAACAGGGGGATAAATTGACAAGGAAGATATGTCGGGTCGAAAGGCGAATCTTGACCAGGTCTTGGGTATTTCTATAGTAATGCAATTTTCATGGAAATGTGTACTGTGCGAACGCGATTGGTATATGGAAAGTGATGTTTGTGTATGTGTCTGTATTCTATTTCGGCTAGCTGTACTAGCTTGGGGTATCTTGATATGTACTTTCTCATCTTGACCTCCCCGGGAGTGCGAGTTCAAGCCTTTCCAAACCCAGGCTCATCCTCCAACTCCTCTACCCCTTCTCCCTCCCCTTGTGTCTCAGTAGCCACACTTTCTTTCATCGACTCCTCCACCTTGCCATCCGGAACCTTCCTCTCCCGTCTTTCCTGCTCCTTCTTCCTCGCGCCCGCCTTTAGTTTCTCCCATTGTTCTCTATATCTGCTTAACACCTGCTTGTCCCTTTCGCTTTGCTTGGCCAGCTTCTCATTGGCACTCAACAAATCGTTGTACTTTGCGTCTTGCGAGGCAACCCTAGCTTCGAGTTCGGCGATGCGTTTCGCGGCGTCGGCGTCGGGGGCGGATGTCGGAGGCTGGCCGGGGGAAGTAGGTTGTTGTTGGGGGTGGCCTGGTATGGGAGGGGAAGGGAGAGCCGGAAGGGTGTTGATGCCTTGAGAAGCGGGGGCGTGAGCGAGAGCATTGGGATCGCTGGAGCCACGTCCGGGTCCTCGAGCACGGAAGGACTGTGCGAGGGCGTTGAAGGAGTTCTGGGAGTTGAGCTCCCACATCTGGATGCGCTTGGCTTGTTTGTCGATGACTGATTTCAGCGTGTCGTTTTCCAGGGCTAGCTCCTCCATGGTCTTGAGGCCTGAGCCTCGGCCGGCTGGAATGGAGCGCTGGGGCGTTACGGATGTGCTGGAGTTGCCGCGGGAAGGGGGACGACGTGCTTTGGTGGGCGAAGGCGGGCCTACGTTCTCTCTCGCGTCGACAAACTCTTCGTGTGAACTCCCTCGCAGCGAGCCTGATCCTTCATCGATGGCATTTAGCTGTGTGTTTAGTGCATTCGGCGCATTCGGATCGCGAAGGATGCTGGCGTATGTGACTGCTCCGCTCGATGTTGGCACCAGGTAGAAGCTTTCGTTGGGCCCGGGTGCGCCATCCTCTCTCAGGGCGCGAAGTGCCGGCTTGCTGATCAAGGCAGCGAGATCTGGTACGGAGGATTTGACGGTTCTGGACGCTTCTGGAGAGTGCGTTCGGGACTTGGTCTTGGAGGATTTCTCTTCCCTAGGTGTCTCCGACACAGGCGTTGGAGCGGAGGGGTTGAGGGGAAGGGAAGTGAAGGCTAGAGGAGCGCTGATGGCGGATATGACACCCCCAAAAGCCGAGTAGAAGCGACTGAAATTGTCCTCTGCGGGCGGGCATGCAGGTTGTGGAGAGGCGCCTTTCAGCTGCTTCGCTGAGTCTCTGGTGGCATTCGACTCTGCTTTGCGCGACTGCTGCGCCAGTAGATCGCGCACAGGCGTGGAAGGCTGCTCGGTCCGGCCGGCTGTGGCGCTGGGTATGTTTGCTGACGCGCCACTGGTGGTTCTCTTCGCGCTGGGGATGCCGCGCTTCTCGGCGAGGTTGGTGGCTATCGAGGACTGGGGCAGTCTGCGGCGGGATGTCGGGGGTGTCGGAGAAGATGTGTTGGCTGGAGAGGCTCGCGACGACGACGTGTTTGGCGAGGTAGAGGCGGCGGACAAGTCAGAGGGCTGTTTGGCGGCGTCTGTCTTCTTCTTGTCCTTGCGCGGTGCTTCTTTGATCAGACCGGCAAGCTTGCGATGGTGGTCTTCGAGGAGACTGAGGATGCGGAGGGCCTGCAACGCTTTAGACGGGTGGGCTAGCTTGCTTCAGACTACGTACCTCAGCATCGTGGGTATCTTGGGTGGCCTTGTGGAAGGCGGTCGCGGCGAGATCATGCTCCTGCCCCGCGGTTGCGACGCTGTTGGTGCTGGTGGCGGTCGCGGCGGTGCGGGCGTGGTCGTGGGCGTGGATGAGATGTGCAGACTCCATGGTGGTGGCAGAGGCAGGGGGTGGACATGTTCATGGAGTCGCTGTGCATAAAGGCAGCATGACATGTGCGTGAAGGGTCGCGGTCACGTCGACAGGGATACGAAGGCGGCCCCCCATGTCACTGCGGAGTAGATCACCGGGCTAAAGACCCGCAGCTACTGGAGACGTTGGAACCAGAACACGAGCAGCTCGCCCGCCTGGTTTCAGCTCGCATGCCTGGCCAGCTTGCTTCTTCTCCCCTCCAAACACGCCCTGCAAGCTGCTGCCCACCATGATTGCCATTGCAGCTGCTACCCTGCCGTAGCCTGTCCAGTGCCGTCCAAAGCGCATCGCGAACCATAGCCGCTCCCTACGTAATCGACCCCCAACCGTCCTAGCAAACACGGCCCTCGCCAGCGTCGCAACATCGATATGCGCGTCTGAGACAATAACGAGACGCTCTACTCCCTCATAGTGCGCTGCGCTCTATAGCACACCCTCCAACGCACAATGGCCTCCGAGCGGCGCAGGAGCATTGGCTCCATGTTCGGCCAGAAGGACAAGGACAACTCGCTGGCTGCGCCCCGCGCGCACTCAAAGGGCCCGGACTCGTCGACCGTCTCCATTGCGAGCAGCGACGGCAACGACGACCTGCTGCGCAAGTCGAGCGACGGCGCCATGGACCGCTTCAGGAGCCGCCAGAACTCCGACGACGCCCGCAGCGACGCGTCGTCGTCCCGCCGCCGGCGCATGTCGACGCTCTTCAAGGGCCGCTCCAAGGGCAGAGGCTCCGTCAGCCAGGACGACGTGTCGCAAGTCGACGCCAATGACGACGTCCCGCCCGTTCCTACAATTAGACGGCCGAGCATGGGCCAGCCATACCAGAGCGACGACTCGCTGGGCCTGGCCAAGAGCGTCGCTAGCAGCCTGCTCACCGAAGACTCCGACCCGGAAGCGTAAGTCGCAGCCCTTCCTTTTGCTCTCCACTCTCCTCCCTGTCTCAGGTGCACTATTATTTCTATTATTTGCATTTGCTGCGCGTCCATTCAAGTTCGGCGTGCAAGGTTTGCCTCGTGGCATTGGCGCCGCTCGCATGGACTCCACCGCGAACAGGCATACGTTCTGGCCTCAGCTTCCCCACTAGCACATCACACCTCCCACATCATCGCCTCGTATCTCGTACACTCCTTGGCTGTCGCTGTTCCATTTGTCGCTTCTCTTCATTACGCCCCTCTTTCGTATTTCTTTGCCGCATACGTACCCACTCGGCCTGCACTTCCGACTAACCCGCTGCAGCCCACCACCACTCAAACGTCCTGGCATTTCACCACACCAGTCGCATGCTGGCCTCTTGACGCTGTCATCGCCCCTGATCGCTTCCGAAACGATTGACTCGACCACGTCTACCAATGTCACTCTCGTAGACTCACAAGCCTCTACCCAAGAGCCCGCTGCCCGGAACGCCAACTCCACCAACGTCGCTGCGAACAAGCGGGGCGTGTCTCCTGTCGGCAAGCTCAAGGAAGCTTTCACACCCAACAAAAGGTCTACGTCCCCGAATCCTAAGCCAGGTGCTAGCCCTGACGTCGCACGACCGAGCACGAGCGGAGGTGGACTAGGAGCCTTGTTTGGAGGAAAGAAGCGCGAGACGAGGGTGTTGGATGATCCGATCCAAGCCTCACCACCACAGATACACACAGGGCAGGAAACAAAATCTACGCCTTCACTGAGATCTGTCGCCCCGAAGCGCATCGTTACCTCGCTCCCCGCGACGCCCCCCAATCTATCTGATGCACCCACCACCTTCATAACACCACCCACCCCAACCGATCCGAAGCCTTCTTCCCCGACCGAATCCACCAGCTCCAAGAACACTGTGAAGCACGACAAGACCAACTCGAATCCCAACGTAGTCGTCTCCCCTTCGGGGAACATGATATCGCACCGACGCGCGCGATCAGCCACAAATCCTCCGAGCAAGCTATCACATTCGTCAATACCACCTCTGACTCCTCACCTCGAGGAAGCAAAGACCCCTGGAGGGACTGCCGTACTTCCATCGTCTCCTGGCGGGCCTGGTGGATTCTTCGCTTCCATCTTCTCTGCCGCGCAGAACGCTGCCAACAACTTGGGGGACACCATTGCAAACAACACAAACATCAAGAACAAGCCCAACCAGCAACAGCAAAAGGAAGACGACGATACTCCCGACGGTGGTGAAGAGGTTATCGGTCCCGACAACGCAGATACCAACGCGAGTGAAGGCGCCGAGAAGCGAAGACCTGCCATTGAAACACTGGGATCTGGCAACTTGAGCTTAGCCCAACTTGGAATCGCCGAGAGCAACGACGTCAGCCCAATGTCTTCTGCAACCAGCGTCACCATGAAGGCTGACGAAGCATCGGCCCAGGTCGAAGACCGAGCTGCTGCTCAGGCCGTCTCAGCCGCATACGCAGGAGAGAAGCCTCCATCAATAGCTAGTGAACGCCCAAGATCGTTGACCGCTGTCTCTGGTCAGTCAGGGACGGGCGCGCAGTCTCCCCCACGGCAACCTGAGATAACCGACTCGCCAGCGTCGATTCAGCGTCAAGGCAGTATACGCAGTCGTATAAGCGGTGGCAGACGGAGACGGCATAGGGGCAGCTCCGCTACTACCGGTAATACTCTGGGTGGTGTCATCAGTGCAAGTACAAGTACATTGGCGCCGAGCGCAGCACTGAACAGTCACCGTCTGAACGGAACTGGGTTCGCAGTTGCACCTCCTAGGCGAAACAAGGATTTCCACGCACTTTTCAAAAGCGTGCCCGAGGACGACTATCTGATCGAGGACTATAGTGCAGCCCTCCAGAAAGAGATCTTGCTCCATGGACGTTTGTATGTTTCCGAAGGGCATCTCTGCTTTTCCAGTAACATCCTTGGATGGGTCACAAACTTGGTCATCAGCTTTGATGAAGTCGTGTCCGTCGAGAAAAAGTCCACAGCTGTCCTCTTTCCAAACGCCATCGTCATACAGACACTTCACGCTCGCAACGTGTTTGCGTCATTCCTGTCACGAGATTCTACCTACGACTTAATCATCGGCATCTGGAAAATCTCGCACCCTAATCTCAAATCATCCCTCAACGGTGTAACGCTAGACGGTTCCGGTGGCACTGGTGACAAGACTGAGAAAGCAGAATCCATCGGCAGCGAAGACGGCTCTATCCAGGACTCAGATGATGAGGTGTACGACGAAGACGCGGACGACGATGAAGGCACTGGCAGTTTCACCGAACCTGGCGAAGGTAGCATCGCTGGTAGCGAAGTTGGCTCTGTGGCAGGTGAGACCACCCGAAAAGTGAGCGGCGCGGTATCACAAGCCTTTGGCGGAGGTGGTGAGACGGCTGAGGCTGCGAAAGTAGCCACAAATGGCACTGCCGCTGCTGGACAAGACTTCCCTGGCTCAACAGCTCATGGACCCACTGAGTGTGGTGACAGCGACCAGCATTACGACAAACTACTTATCGATACGACAATTCCTGCGCCCCTCGGCAAGGTCTATAGCTTGATGTTCGGTCCAGCTTCTGGTGTCTTTATGCGCAAATGGCTCGTGGAGGACCAAAAGTCCTTGGACTTGCAAATGGAAGATGACAAGAAGGGCCTGGGCGAAGACATGAAGACATTTAACTATTCTTATATCAAGCCGCTCAACGCACCCGTTGGGCCGCGGCAGACAAAGTGTAATATCGCCATGAATCTGGAGCAGTACGATTTGGACAAGGCCGTAAGCGTGCTTTGCAGCACAGCGACTCCGGATGTACCCAACGGCAGCATATTCCTCACGAAGACAAGGTATTGTCTGATGTGGGGCCCAGGAAACAGCACGCGGCTCATCATGACGTTCACGGTGGAGTGGAGTGGAAAGAGTTGGTTGAAGGGTAAGTAGTATCTGCTTTGACGCAGAAAACATACTGACATTTCCAGGTCCTATCGAGAAAGGCGCGAATGACGGTCAAATGTCGTACGCCACCTCCCTTACAGCCGCTCTCCGCACTGCCGTGAGCGCGGCGAAAGTCGGTCCGGCTCGCGTACCCGGAAAGGGCGGAAAGGGCAAGAGGCGGTCCAAGGGCAATCTTCTGGATGAAGCGCCCATGCCTGCCACCGCTCCCGTCCCCACTAGTCAGGCAAAGCAGAGCAATTGGGGGCTACTGGAGCCTTTGCGCAGTCTCCTTGGGCCGTTTGCTGATATCCTGGAATCTATTTTCACTCCGCAAGTCATCATCGTCATCCTCGGAGCACTTCTGATGTACACCTGGCTGTTCCGAGGCACATCAACGGCGACTGGTCCAAACCAATGGTCGACGGCTCAACGCCAGGTTGCGTACGAGGAGATTTGGCGTCACGAAGAGTCAGATCTCTGGAACTGGCTCGAAGAAAGAGTTGCTTTGGACAGAGTGCATAGCTCCGTCCGGGGGGCACACATTCAACCAGAGGACGGCACGCAGAAGCCACTAGCACCGCATGACATGCAGGCGCGGGAGATGGACGAAGCGATTCGTGTGACCGAGGAACGATTGAAGGCGTTGAAAGACGCCGTGACTCGGGAACGCTCAAAGTCGCGTACAAAAAGTGCAAAAGAACGACAAACGTAGGCACAGAAACGCCGGACAATATAAGCGCCCTCGGAGAGGGTCGTACGAGAGAAAGCACTCCACGGCTTGCAGCACGCCCATGAGTCGCGAAGCTCAAACTGTAAACATACGCAAGACTTGCATGGCGATGGCGTCAACTTTTTCCCTTTGTGATTAGCTTGGCGTTTGGTGCGTTGGGGCCCGGGTGGGCTTGTATGGCGTACATCTGTCATACCATGGTGTTCAGCCGCATCGTTTCGTTTGTGTTTCGCACTGTCGTATCAAGGTCAGGAGTGGATTTGTAACCTCCGTTCGTCTTTGCACAAGGATTTCTTTACATTCATCCTGTCAGTGTTTCCTACTGGCAAACTGTTGTTATAAAACCCGTTTCTCAATCAGATAAACATTGGCTCGAAGACTTCCAGAACCAAATGGTCCCGCGGCATTCGCCACCCATGCTATATCCAAAAGGGTCCATTGACGCGACGAACAGTCGTTAGACTGGCGATCTACGCGTGCCTTGAACCGTTGTTAAAGTTTGGTGACCTGCAGCGGTGATCGCCGGTACTTGCATTAGCGCGGTCTAGGCGATGCGCTGCACGATCTATTCGATCATGGATCACCCAGATCTTCATGGATTTCTTCATCTCTCCAGTCCTCGGGTGCCGAGAACTGCGAACACGAGAGCAGTTAAAGTTCGTCCACGTCGGTGACGACTTACAATGTTGCTGTTTAACTTTGACAGCTCCCTCCCTGAACGGTAAGCAGGCCGAGAAGACGCACGTCCCTAGATACCACGTGTGCTGGTGCGATACTTGGAAGCTGCGTCTAGCGCTACTTCGTACATCCCGTTCTTGGATATCCATCGTTCACGTCTCCACGATTCAGTTCCCCACAGAAGACGCAGCCACCGTGCGACCCTCTCATCTCCCAGGTTGGGGAGTCAACAGTTCCAATACCGGTGCCGCCGGTTGCAGATTCGCGCCACGCGATCCGGCCGAGCGTCGCTTCTCCGAACAGTCCGCAAACTCTGGATAAACTCAATGGTACGGGAAGACGTGACTATCGGATACCAGTTTCCTAAACAAGTTGGTTTGAGGGTCCTATTGAGTTAGGCCATGCTCCGGATCCGCACCGTTAACGGACGGCCGCGGTCCCCCCAGGATGCAGCGACCTACTGTTTGGTACCTGACTCTGCCTTAGTTTGCTCCGCCGCCGCCACTGCTACTGTTGACGGTTTTGCGATGGGATAGCTAAACTTTGTATGCAGAAATGGCGTGCCATGGCAAGATCGATGGAGGGTCTGGCTGACGTGGAGTATAGCAAGGGTTCACCGCGGTTGAGCTAATAGAGTTTCCGTAACAGGCGTGGGATGTCTGAGAAACGTTCTTCAACTACGTCTATTTACCTTTTCTTCGGACCCTTCATCCTGATACTCGAGATCTCTTCGTTTTCCAGCATATGGCGTGGCCACACTGTATGCGAAACATCCGGAATATCCGGTGCTGACATCTAATTTCGGACTACGATCTCACTTTGTTTTCTCTATCACGCTCTAGTCGCGGGTTTCTTCCTCCATACGTCCAACATGGCATACAGCCCTAATGGAAAAGGATCGAGTGGTCTCCTTCCTCCCGTCTCAGTCTTTGCAGCCTGGCCGCTTCCGAATTACGAAGATCCCGTCACGCGTTCCAAAGCCGTTCTCATCACATCATGTACTCTGGGGTCGATTATGCTTGCTGTAGTTGGAGCAAGAATATGGGCAAGAGCTGTCATACAAAGGAACTCGGGTGTCGATGACTGGATCATGTTGGCTGCAATGGTATGAGCCTCCCACAATGACTGAAACTGTGTGTGCGAAGACTAATACATTGATCACAGATCCCAACAATTGGACTGACAGTCACCGCATGTCTTGGTACGTTGCCACTCACACGAAACCTTACCATACCAGTCTTCTAATGATCACATTAGCGACCGAACGCTACAATTTCAATCGACACATCTGGGACGTCCATCCCGACAAGTACGTCCCAGAGCGCCAAGTAACCTTCGCCCTCTACGCTTTGTACATCGTGGCAGGAGGGATGATCAAGATATCCATCCTTCTCTTCTACCGCCGTCTCGACTCACGATCCATAACGAAGAGTTTCCGCATCGCAACATGGCTCAACATCGTTGCCATCGCCATCTTCTCGATCGCATTCGTCATCGTCCTCTTCACAGCGTGCACACCGTTTACCGCATTCTGGTACCAATTCGACATCACCAAGCAGCTTACAGGATACGCATACCATTGCTGGATTGATGAAGCGGCAGACCTTCTATCAGCGAGTATAATAAGCGCTGTACAAGATGCCATCGCCGCGTTCCTTCCCACAATTCTATACTGGAACCTACACATCCCGCGTCGCCAAAAGATTGCCCTGGGCGCCATCTTCGCTCTCGGTTACCTCGTCTGCATCGTCGCAGGCGTACGCTCCTACTTCGTGTGGCGCACCTTCAACAGCCCCCTTTACGATTCGACCTGGGAGTCCTGGCCCGCATGGCTGCTCTGCGTGCTGGAAATCCAACTTGGCGCCATCTGCGCGAGTGCGCCCGCCCTCAAAGTCTTCCTATCGCATTACTTCAAGGTGGCAACGAGTATGTACAGCGGGTCGAGTCAAGGCACGACGCATGCCAGCATTCAGAAGGGCGGCGGTGGTACCTGGTGGAAGTCGGCCAGTTCAGGGACGTCGGGGTCAAGAGGGACCATGGCTTCGAGGGTGGATAGAGATGGGTATATTCGGGAACCGGGAAATGCGCATATGGTCGATGAAGAGGGGGGCATTGTGCTACAAGATACGAAGAGGTCTGATGGACGGACGGAGAGCATCGAGACTTTCATCTACTTCTGAGAGGGATTACAACAAGGAGTGGCGAGAAGACGGCCAACTCAATGCGCCACAAAGTTATCATTGTACGAACCCATGACGACAGGACTGGCATGGGAATACTACCATGCTATTAAGATCGGGAGCATGATATCAGCGCCTGCCCTGACGATTTGGAGCTGCGCAATAGCCTCTGACGGGGTTTGTTGCCTGCCGTGCAACTGACGCAATTCAGTGTCGACAAGCGTGCCTCCACCAACACGCGTCGTTCTTCGCGGACGGAAAGCAAAGGGGAAAGGGAAAGGGAAGGGAATCCACAAGAACAGGATGGTAGGAACCGAAGTGCCGGACAAGTACAACAAACGGACGCGTGATCGAAAAGACGGTCACTGAGCGAAAAACAAGAGTACCTGTATCGGCATGAGAATAACACCAGATCAGACTAAGATATTACAAATGACTTTGTAACATAAACGTAATAGACAGAAGAGTTACGACTATTCTACAAGTACTGTATCCAAGTTCATTATACGAAACACACCATCTTCTGTACCACCAATTCTGACCTCGAAGCCCCAAAAACGGACTTTCTACAACACTCACCCTCACCCCACCCCTCACCAACAACACATGTACACCTCCTCAGCGTCTCTCCATCCCTACTTCCATCCTCTTACCCCTCTTCTCCAAAACCCTACCATCCTTCCTCTTCCTCGCCAACTTCGCCTCCCTCCGCTCAAGCAATCTCTTCTTCTCTTCTACCTCCCTCTCCCTCCTCTCAACAGCACTCTCTCTACATTCCACCACACTTTCGCGCCGCGCCAACGCACTCTGTCGCTCTTCCACCTCCATCTCGCGGTTCATAACGGCGATCTCGCGGTCACGAATATCTGGTATAGCAAGGGCGGAGGAATCGAGGATCTTGTTATAATTGGACAGGTTTCTACCCGCGAGGGGCTTGGATGCTGTGCGTAAGTTAGCAGGTCGTTGTAAGGAGAACGGTGAAGGAAAACGCACAGTCGAGTGGAGTAACAGGCGCACCAGCCATGAAACCAGTGTCGTAGTGTGCATACGCGCAATCGATGTCTCGTTTGTTGCATCGTCCGTTTTGGTGCCAGAAGAAACAGGTGAGGGGGTGGGGGAAGTTCTTGGGTAATGATTTGTCGAGCTCGGTGGGTGTGTCGTTGGGTGAGGGGTGTTGACTTGAGTGTCTGCGTGTATAGTGGGCGCTTGAAGGTGGTGGAGCGCTTTGGAAGGGTGAGTTGATAAGAGTTGAAGAAGAGCGTGGGGTGTCGGACCTGCGTTGGTATGCGTTGTCGCGATCAGGTATGTAGCGGTCGAGCATGCGTCCCTGCATATCGCTTGGTTGGAGAGTCGAAATGCTGTTTGTTTTTGACTTGGAAGAGGGTGAGATGGGTTCAATTTGGGGTGCGGTATCAGCCGTTTGTTTGTTGCCGTGCAGAAGAGCACTGACCCTGACGGGCGTTTGCATACCATTCTGACCTGTAAAATTGTCGAAGTTACTGCATTGATGTGTTATTCGTACATTTGATGGATATTTCCAGGATCTGTTGAAGGCCTAATGTGCATCATTGTGATTTGGGGTATCATATTCCTACAGCTTACTCTCCCGCACGTGTCGCTCTTCAACAGGTAGCGCACCACTCATCATGTCCAACTGTTCCTCTCTTCCGTAGAGTACCCGCTCTCGACCTCCCCTTGTTGTCCACCAATTCACAGCAACACCACTACGCTCTGCGTCCATCTCGCCGCTGACTAACACTTCCCAGTATCGCGCTTTGACGTTCTCCCGCATTTCATCATCATGGATTTGATTGAGTAGCTCGGCACATAGAGGCAGCCACTCCTCCAGCAGGTATATAGGAAGGAAAGGAAGGGCATCTATGAGTGTCAGAGCGAGCACTGCCTGTTCCGAGAGGGCGGGGGGTGGTGCGTCTGAGCCTTGTAGAGCCAAAGCAACCGAATCGGGTGGTAGTGGCTGCGAAGGAGCGTTGAGAGCGCGATGATATACAAGCTCTAGGAGCGTGGCTGGGAGATCGGGATGGGTCGCCGATAAGGTGGAAGGAGGAGCTGTGACACGCATCAAGGTCTTGAAAGCTAGACGGAACTGGCGCGGGGACAGGTTGTGAGGGAAAACACTGAACAGAGCGTCGATGTAGAACGGCAGGTGTTTTGCTGTGATCTCGGCAGATTGTGGAGCAGATAGCACAGCAAGCATGACACTATGGGCGGCTTCGAACACTGGCAACATATGGCGATTCTCGCCAGCCGCAAGGTAAGGTACCGCCGACGCGACAAGTAAGTCCTCGTTTGTGGCTGGCGACAAGATTAGAGTGAAGTGTTCTGCTGTATTCAGAAAGTAGAGGTCCAGTATGCGGTCAAGTGGGTGGCTTGGTATCTGGCCAAGGTGTTGAGGCGCAATAGTTTTGAGGAGCTTATCGGCGTGGTTGGGGTAGGCAGAGAGAATGTCTATCGCCGTGAGATAGACAAATGTGTGCTGGGAAAAGGAGGCTGGGCCGAGTCGGGAGGTGATGAAGTATAGGTGCCGCAGGGTTTGTAGGGCTTGTGATGCTAGCATGGGAGCGATGGCGTCTGCAGCGAGCGCTCTGTCGGCTAGTGTTCGTGTGAATACGCCTCGCAGAATGATAGTAGTAGCAAAGAGAGCCGCCTTGAGTAGGTTCCACAACTGCGGAGTTGTCTTGTGAAGCGCGTCGTCTTCCAGGTTTGCTGCCTCCTCGGACGGCTCGATATCTGAAAACTTGGTCTGTCGCCATTGTGTAGTAAGAGCGCGAGAAAAGCTTGCGAGGTCGTCCATCATGGTTTGGATGATCCATGGGTTCTTGACGTTCTCGACGGCATGCGCGATTAGCCGTGATAGAGGACCCATAGATGATACCAAGGGCCTGTTCATGATACTTTCGACTTGTCTGTAAGAGCTAGAATGTGGCTATGCATAGTCAGTATACGTACACGCATGTATCAGGTTCCGAAAAGACCTACACTCCAGTCCAGCTTCCCCGATTGCATCGTTCGTACGTCGAGATCAAGGCTCCCGAGGAAGTAGGCCGACTGGAAGCCTTCATTCGAGTAGTATGCCGTTCCAATGAGAACTGGGAGCAGCAGGTCGTAATCAAGCTGTGTCCTTTCCACATCTCCGATGCATCCGAAGGCATGATTGAGCGTCAGTGTTATTGTCTGGCCTCCCAGTCCGTCTGCCTCGGAACGCTCCCTGACTTCCACCAAGGCGAGGTTTGTCGCGCGCACCAATGCAGCCTCAACTCTCTTTCGCATAGCTGATGCCCAGTACAGGTCCATGCCTTGCTCTTCGAGGCTCCCGATACCGATCAGCAGACCGGCGAGGACGACCAAGTGCTTCCATCGGCGGCTCCGGTCGTCGGCTCCCGCGACTATGGCGCGTATCCATTCGTCTAGCGAAAGGCCTCCTCCTATTGGCGTTTGTCCAGGCGCAAGCTTAGCTGCTTTGTTGTGCCGAACGTCGTTGTGGTGGTTGATGATGGTGGTGACGGCCGAGTGAAAGACAGAAAGCATGCGCAGAGGCGTCCGAACGCCATCGGGACGGTCCCATAGCGCGGGCGCGGTAAGGAGGTGCGAAGTAAGGAGGCTGAGATTGTGGGGGTTGCCGAGCGTGGTGAGGAGTGAAGACGCGGTTCCCAGTAGCCTGTAGTCATTAGCATGCGCATCGCGAATAGGGAGTCGAGAAGCGTACCGCGGCGTGTCTTGCTGGTCTGTGTATGTCTGGAGCGAGCGCAGCAGCGTGGATAAGAGGCGATCGACGACCATGATGACCTCGAGAAGCCCGCGACAGGCTACCAGAAGATGCGCATGGAGGTGTTGGAGATGCAATGGCTGGTGTTGATCATCGCTCGCGTCTGCCGAGGTTGCGCTAAGCTCGGGCTTTAGCCGTTGACATTCACTCGGAGATCGACGTCACAAGCATCAACTTCAACACATCGGCTTCTGATATCGTATGATTCCGCGGTCCTAGTCCTACGCGCAGCAGTACACGAAGCGCCCCATAGCCATGCCGCATAGATGAGGTAAGCCCAACTAGCCTTGTGCTCACCACAGTCTTCCCCCTGTGCATGGCCCAACATTCACGTTCGCCTCAACACGTTCCCCACATCTTGGCCATGAACGTAGTTAATCGTATATTCCCCAGCTTTATTCAACGCGTCGACTCGGCGGTTCCGCTCGGCTACACCACGCCGCCCTTCCCCTCCCTCTACTGGCCTCTTCCCGCCGGCGCGACACAGTCCTTCTACCTATACCGCCCCGATGACATCTTCCGCTTCACCGTATACTGGACACTGCTGCTGGTCGGCGGCATTCACTTCATCACTGCACTATGGGCGTGCATAGTGCAATGGCGCAATTGGAAGTTGATATGGATAGCCCTACCTGTATTCAGCATCGTGGGAGGTGTTGAAGCACTTGTTGCGGGTGCGATTGTTGGCGGACTGTGAGTGATGCCTCTGGAAAGAACCATATGGATCGCATACTGATTACCATCAGACTTGGAGGCGTATATCAGGCGGGCTACTTCGAAATGTCCACCTGGATACCCTTTGTCTGGGCCGTCATCAACACCTTGGTACTCATATTGTCTTCGTTCGCCATCTACGGTGGACTCTGAATCCTTGTCGCGGACACATGCTCCGGATTTACTAGCATCGCATCTCAACGCATCCGCGCATACCTGCGCCCCGCGCATCCACAACCGAAGCCACGCCCTTGTGTCTATCCCTGCTGCCTCTGATTGGAGGGATGGGCGTCTGCATGCGCATCTCATGGCGGACCATGTCGTGGCAGAAATACTCCGATAAAGGTCAGGCAACTGTTGTCGCCCATGAGATTGCGGACTCTTTATCGTTGAGTTCTCGAGCCTTGAGCATCTTCACCAGCTAGTGTGGCATCAATACCCTCCTCCACATCCTCACCACACCCACGAGCTGGACATTACTACGAGTACACTTCATCGAAGTGACGCGATGTGTAAACGATACAAAAGGCCGAGAAAACGATGTGTATACTCCAACTCACACGAGCAAGACTAGTCTCCACGAGTGTGGATGACAATGTTTCACAGGCTGATCGGGGACGCAACGTTGATGTACAGAGAGACCTACATACGATCGGTGCCCATCTTCCCCGCACAAAGCTCCGGGTTCTACGCATTCTATGGCACTAAGAGAGAGAACATGCCAGCTGGACCAACGATGAAGACAGGTTAGAGAGCAAAGCAGTAACCAGATAGCAGACTCGTGGATGGGTATCATTACACTAGATTGTCACCGGTTCTAGCAGACCGGAGTTGGCTTGTTGTCTAGATCATACCTATATCCAATTCTATATATACATCGTAGATCATTACTTTCATTACATCGTGACATCAATCCAGCCACCTCATCCAGTATGTATCTTGAACCTCTGCTTCACCTGTTTTCTGCACATGGGACACTTCGTCGGCCGCACGGGTATATGGCCATGCTTCACCGGAACAACGACTTCAGCGCACCACTGACACATGACCATGTGCCCGCAGGGCAATACAGCTACATCAGCAAGCTGCTGATAGCACACCTGGCACGCGAGTACCTTCGTCATTTCCGCGTCCGTCTTTGGATCTGGCCGATCAGGTTGGCTGTCAAGCGACACGAGCGGTAGTTCTGGCTGCGGAGGGTCGACGCGTAAAAATGCGCGCGCTTCAGCGAACCTGTGCTGGAGACGTGTACTGCGCATGCCGGGCTCAAGGAGAGCCGAGGCGCGCACATTGGATAGTATTTCGAGCGCCGACGCCACAGTTGCGGGTCTGGTTGCTGCATCCCCGCCGCCGGGCATTGCTAATATTGTCTCTAGATCCAGGTCTGGGCGGGATACGTCGTTGTTCTCAAGATTTGGGCGCCGGGGCGCATAACTCCAGACTTGGCTTTCTGGCTCTAGAGTCTCTGCAAATGACTGCGACTCTCGCATGACACCCCATAGTAGCTGTTCCTCGATTTCTCGTCGATCTTGTGGGGATAGGCCGTCCAGTGGAGGTGCGATTTCGGTCCCGTCTGCTCTTCGTTGGTCGGCCTGGCGTTGGCGGGCGTAGGCTCGTGTGTACATTTGTGTAAGCGGTGACTCGTAGTCGTCCTGCTCCAGTTCCTCCCGGGAGCCGAATACGCGTGCGAATCGCTCTCGCCGATTTTGTTGCTGCGCTTCTCGTCGTGTCATTGGCCGTGGGGGCTCTGACGGCTCTTCCTGTATTTGTGGTGTGACGGAAGTTCGTGGTTCTGCTGGTGCCATGGGCTCTGTGTGCGAAACCTCCGTCTCCTCCGTCTCTTGCAGTAGATCATCCAGCGCGTCTTCTAGACTCTGGTGTGGCTGCTCTGGTCGCTCCTCTTCAGAGCTTAACCGTCTTCTTCTAAGTCGGTTCTCTGGTCTGCTCGCATCGTTCTCCACCCCAGCCCTCAACTGATCCAATGTTCGCGGAAGGAAGCCGGGGCTGACTTCTCGGAATGGCTCCCCTATAACAGGCATGCGTTGTTCAGTCCCATCCGGCAGCTTCGCAATGCGATAGCCCTGGTGAAACTCCCACCATCGCTCCAGGAACTCGGTCTGGTCAGGTATCTCGGGTACGCGTGTCTGGGAGATTTCGAGGGGAGGGTCGGTAGCGGCAAGACGGTTGCTCCAGAACTCTAGTCTGTAGTCAGTTTACGATCTGGTAGCTCGAGATCCCATCGAGTGATATTGTACCTTTACAGAACCAACAATAGCCTTGCCACCTTGTGCCGCGGTTCACAAAGCCCACGCCGTCAATGTACACGCGATACGTCCGCGAGTGAACTCTTTCGTCGGCGCAAGCGCAGCAATTCGGGGTAGAGGTCAATCGGCAGCTTGTGGCAAGCTTGTGTGGACAGTGTGTATCCAAGCGTGGGCAGTCTGCGGTCAAAGTGCCCATGATGAGTCGGCTGAGGGCTTGATTGTATGTCAAATGCTGGTATGAGAGCTGTAACGCCCGGTGCACACGCTAAAGATCAAAGAAGACTGAGGCTTTGGACGTGGTGCGCAAACAAATGCGTGAAGTTTGGCGGGTGACGCGTCGAGATACTCCGCGTTCCGCGGTCGCACTTGCATGCGCTCTGGTGGGGCGGAACATGGGTTCGATGGGGGAGTGGACCTAGCGTCATGTCATTCCCGCGGCTTGACACTTCCAAGGTTGCAATAGACTGTGACTGACGGCATTCCCAGGCCCGAAGCTCGACTGCCGCTTGCCTACCCGTCATAGCAGCTATTGCTACGATCTGTGTCCGTTGACTGTTGGTCACAACATGCTGTACGTGGCCAATCGAGTGCTAGCGTCCAACAGTTCATGGCTCACAGCTGTGGATGGGTCGTAGCACCGAATATACAAATGCTCCCTCGCCCCGACTCATTCATAGTTGTTTCGAACACAAAAGTCTTCAAAGATCTCAACGAAACGCGTATCTAAACATCATGTCCTCAATCGAATCTCGAATAAATAACAAGCCTTCACAAGAACACCGATAGGCTCTGAACATCAAAAGATTTAATGGCAAGCCCTTCGAAGAATAGATACCCGTCTACTTGCCATGGAACCTCTCGACAGAAGAAGTCGAAAAACTCTCTTCAGTTGAAGCGACATGTCTTGAGAAAGAGGGAGAGAAGATCAAGCTTAAGCTTGCGCCGCCGACTGAGCTATGTTGGGAAGGTGCTCGAAATCACGAAAGTTCTCGTGGCGTTGAGCTTATATGAAAATCTGAAGAGAGAAGGAGAGTTTCTCTCTATGCCCAGCGACATCGATAGTGAAGTCAAAAGAGGAGTGTCGAGAGGAGTGGTACAAAAAGCAGCTGCATTATCAACACTGTAGATTGTTCGATGGATGGGTAGTTTTAGCAGATTCATCTGCTCTGAAAACTATCTCATGATTTGCAATGAGTACACCCGATGTCTAACCAGTAGCTTCTGTGAAGACCACGCGATGTGTGGGTTCTAGGCCTGACAGCAAGCAACACCGTGTAGTTTCATCACGTGTCGAAACACAAACGCTCCTGTCCAGGTGCTTATCAACACCAGTCACCACTTCAGCAAATGTAAATATTGCCAAGATCCTGGTCCACTGCCTATTCCTACGCAAAAGATGGCGCCCATTTACCTCATTGTCGTCACAAAAGCCACAACCTTCTCTCGCGCCCTCTACAACATCGTGTCCGCAACCCCCGAAACCCAGACATGCGCCTACCCCGAAAACAACGAGGAATTCTTCTACATCAACATACGCGTCACACACCCTACTACCAATCGCAGCACAATTCTTAAGATGGAGGTACTCAAAGAAGCCCACGTTCTTAGCGTCGAAGTACCCGGTCGGCAGAAGACACTGCCGCTGGCCGAGCAAGCACTTTGCAACCGAGTCGATGCAGAGTATTCGGATAGGAGGCTAAAGAGAGAATCTTTTGAGATGGTGTGGAGGTTCGAGCAGGCGGATGAGGTGGAGGAGAAGTATAAAGACGAGGCGAGGAAAGTGAGTGTGGATATTATGGCGAGGGACTTCAAGACTACTTGGTGGGATGTGTACGAGTGTGAACTTGGTTGAGAGCGGGGATGAGGATGAGCAAGAAGGGAGTAGATTTGAAGTTGTATGGTGGAGCTTGGCTGGGACATTGCGATGAGGTGTTGCGTGTGACAGGCAGATTAGAAATAATAGAGAATTGATATAGTACTTAGACCGGAAAGAGGGATGCATGGTAGAGTGGATCGGAAGGTGATTCACCCTTCTTTCTTCTGCGCATGATTCAATGTAATCGCCGGAGCTCCACAGAAAGTTCACAGTTCGACGAAGAAGCAACAGTAAAGTATGGCGATGGTGTACTACCTGGTTATGCAAAAGTGAGCGATGGAGATGTTGGCAGACTGTGGGACTGGGGGCAGGGAAAGTCAAATACATCGTCTTGACTAGGCCCTCGCTTGAAAGAGAGGGGCGTCATCGTCGCCGTCCGCCGCTCGGTGTAATGCGCCTTGCTCCGGGCCCGTGAGGACGGTTCACGAGGCGTAGCGCTCGTGCATAGCGGCTATGCAAGAAGAGCGCGGAATGCCACGGCACATGTACCTTAGACTGCAAAACCTCGTTTCGATATTCTTCATTCAGTTTGACGTCGAAGGATTTGCCAGGGGGTTGTGCCAACCGAGAAGTGGATGTTAGTCATTCGCGTGCGAGAGTAACATCTCGGCTCCATCTCGGTGTAACATTACACGTCCGCCCCACCCTCTACGGTCGCGCCGCTCAAATTGCCGCTTTTGAACTCATCAACGATTTGCTCCATAGTGACCCATTCCACTCCTTCGTGCCCGTTGATCCACTCGATGAGCCTCTCGTGCAGTAGAATGACTTGTGGTTTGCCGCTCACCTGCGGATGGATACCTAAAGATGGGTGTACGAAGTCAGTCTCTAACAAACAGTTCGTCCAGGGACATGACTGACTAATTGGGAAAATGAAGCTTCCGTCATCAGGACATTCGCGATACAGAAACTCGAACTGCTCCTTCCACAGGCGCTCGATGACCGCGGTATCGACGAAGCCATGTGTGCTTGGTTGTGTAAGCGAGAGCTGGAAAGGTGGCCAGTCATCCAGATGCCAATTTGCAGGTATCTCCACGACTGCAGATGGCTTCAGTGTTGACATGGGCTTCATCCAATGAGAAGCTGGCTTTGATACGTCGGTCTCTGTATACGTGCTGAGGTGCGGGGAAGGAACGTAGTAGGGCTGAGAGTCATGATGCATGAAGGAGTGATCGTATTCCTACATTGATGTCAGCTCGCCATTTATGCCTGATGTCAGAGAATGGTACTCGTACAATTCCGAACTCTTCGAGGAGCTTGATCGTCTCCCTACTCGTGCTCCAGGCAGGTGCAGTCCAGCCGCGCGGTTTCTTGCCTGCAATGTCTGTCAAGACCTGTATGCTCTTCTCCAAAACGTGTCGTTGCTGTTGTTCGTTCAAAAGGGAGACAAATTCGTGTGTGTAGCCGTGTAGCCCGATTTCATGTCCACTTTCGACGATTTTGCGTATCTGATGCGGAAAAGACTCCGCAGAATGTGCTGGTATGAACCATGTTGTCTTGATGTCGTATTTGTCCCAAAGCCTCAGCAGACGATCAATGCCTACAGTGGCACCAAAGACACCACGGGACACATCAGTTGGGTTGGCGGGGGCTCCGGTTTTGGTGTTTAGCCTTGAGGTGCCGTCAGCTGGTGCTCATGAGACGCTCCGAATGGATCGAACGTGCCACCCGCTCACCTGTGTTCCTCGGTAATCAGCAAATGATTCGAACGAAGATGGCAGACCTGTTACTCACCGCGTCGATGTCAATACCATAAGTACACAGCACGCGTTTTGGCATGATTCGTGAGGCAAAACGGAAGGTAAGGAACTCGTTGGATATGGAGCAACCCTCGGGGAAGCAACAGAATGCAGGCGAGAGGCAATCGCCTCTTATCGTCAACTGCCTGCCTTCTCAAACGACATAGTCCGCGGCACAGTTGTAGTTGGCATGTTTGACCGCGGCTGTTTCGATACCAAGGGAGTGGTTCACCGCCCGTCGCTGATATACTCCGAAGCACTAATCAAGCAGGTAGTAACAGGGTTTCAACGCCGGTGGATTAGCTTGCAGTGGTCCATAGACTGCATTTGTGCACATGCAGTGCAGTTCGCAGAAAATTACTCATGCTGCACCTTTACAACGAATGGGAGACGAAGGAGCGCGTGGCGTAGCTCGAGACGGAATTGAGCGCACGTCGAAGGCGGGGCATGTGCGTGGGATTGCCGAAAGCGCTGCCGCAGACAGATAGACTTTAGCAATTCATTCCTTCGAATAGGAATCTAGACTGCTTCCTACATCTTCTCGTCAGATATTTGTCGGGTCGTCGTACACGATGCTGTTTGTCGAGTGCAAGGGCACCCCGTATGAGGTAAGTGTGACGCGTGACGTCATTACTGCTGCCGCGACGAACCGCGACAGCGACCAGGATTATGCTGATCGCACACAGATTGGCTACCAACACGGTAAAGCCGCAAAGCTACAGATTGCTCGTTGCATCGAGTTCTACGCGTGTCTCTTCCTGAAGAACTGCAAGAAGAGATGGCCGCAGGTCCTCCAGCACGCGTCGACGTTTGAACAGCGAGCAAAGGCGCAATGGCCAAACTTCCACGAAGAGATGCAAGGCATTGCCGACGGCTCCGGACGCGAGTTGCTAGACATCGTAGCGATAAACGTCCGGACTGAGATCAACTTTGGCTTGTTCAGCGATGGCTGCACTGCCCTCGCGTGGCACACCCAGAACCGGGCATGGTTGGCGCAGAACTGGGATGTATGCAGCACCTCTAGAAGAACACGAAAGCGATGATCGTGTGCTAACAGTGCCCAGTGGATGACCGAGCAGCAAGAGAACCTGATTGTTACCAAGATCACACAAGCGAATAAGCCCACTATAATCCAAGTAACCGAGGCAGGCATCATCGGAAAGATCGGCTTCAACAGCAGCGGCGTAGGCACGTTGTTCAACGCCATAAAAGTTCACGGCGTGGATTCCACCCGAATGCCCGCTCACTTTGGCTTGAGAATGGCACTGGAGAGCACGTCAGTCGACGAAGCAGTACGCAAGCTGGAGAGTTTCGGCATGGCATCCTCAGCCCATATCCTCATAGCTGATGCAAAAACGTCC